ATTTATTTGTAATAGCCAGAACCTGGAAACAACCTAGATGCCCCTCAACTGAAGAGTGGATAGAGAAATTGTGGTACATTTATACAATGGAGTACAACTCAGTGGAAAACACCAATGGAATCTTGAAATTTGCAGGCAAATAGAAGGCACTAGATGAAACCATCCTGACTGAGGTAACCCACTCACAAAAAGAGAAAAATAGTATGTACTCACACATATATGGATTTTTAGACATGAATCAGAGGAGTGCCAGCATACAATCCCATTGCCAGAGAGTCTAGGAAATAGAACTTACATCCAGTGACTGATGAAAGCAGAGGCAAATACTCACAGGTAAACACTGAACTGAACTCCTGGAATCCAGTGTCAGAAAGGGAGAACTGATGGGCAAAGGACCAAAGAGTGGGCTGGTTTAACCCACAGAAACAGTTGACCTGAACCAGGGGGAGTTCTTGGACTCCAGATAGATGGCTTTGTGGCAAGCCTGGAACTGACCCAGACCCCCTAAATGTGGGTGTCAGTGAGGAGGCCTAGGTAATCTATGGGGCCTTGGTAGTACTTTTCCCTGGAGTTCAAATACTTTGGGTCCCCATCCCCTAAGGAGGGATGCTCTGTCAGCCTGGACTTTTTAAGGAGGGCTTAGACCCTACCCTGGATGAAATGACAGACTCTGGAGATCCACCATGGAGGGCCTCACCCTCCCTGGGGATCAGAGTGGAGATTGGGTGGGGGACTGGGGGTCTTGTGTGGAGGGATGGGCAGGAGGGGATGGAGAGGGAGCTGGGATTGACATGTGAAACAAGCTTGTTTCTAACTTAAATTTTAAAAAAGGAAGAAAAAATAAAAAATAAATAACTAAACAAACAAACAAACAAAAAACTTTAGTCATTTCTATAATGTCCACCTGGATACTTTGAAAGGGTATCAATTCAGGAAACCCTGACCCTAACTCTAACCCTAACCACTAACCCTAACCCATATTATTAATTTTTAACCACCTCATCTTCCCTTTTGGCAATCTGCATATCCCTCACATACCTGTTTATCAATGGTGAAGAGCCCCATACATTTATAACTTTTGTACTTCATTTCATTTAGCCTGTGTTCTCCAGCAACTTCCCTTCTTGTAACATATATGTTAGTTAGTGTCTAATATTTGGAGATACCAAGTCCACTCTGATGAGGAGGGAATACAATTTTTCAGAGGAAACTCACTGTTCTTGGGTCCTGGCTGATCTTAGAGAGCAGGACCCAAAATATGGGGTGTTCTTTTGTCTCTCTTACTCTCATTGATATAGACAGTTTTGTGTTGTCCTAGAGTTATGAGCAGTTGAGCCTCAATACCGCAGATTACTAGCCCAAGACCACCTGAGCACATGCATGAGTAGACAGAGAGGAAAAACATAGAATTGACCAAAGTAGTAAAGTCTCACAATTCAGTGTTGATGATGACTGTAGATCAATGGAGGAAGACATGATAACCACTAATATACTTGGCTCCCTCTTTTAGCTTAAGAAGCCTCAAAAGAGGCACCAGAGAAAAGTGGAGATTATAGCACTCACAGGTACCACAAGCTATCTTTTGTAACCTGAAAGAAGCCACACAGAGGACCTTTGCTCATTGGTTCAGGTCCTGGTACTATTTCTTAATCAGGGACTCTTGAGGAAGATAATGCTGGGCAAAAAACTCCAGACCCCACAGCTGATTTTAATAGAAGTTACAAACATGGGAGGCCAGATGATATGCCTGGAGAATTCATTAAATCCCAGTTTCCAGGAGAAGCATTTACTGGGGAGGCCATGTCGTCTGGGAGGGTAACACTGTCAAGCCTCCCTCAGGACAAAGCTTGGGATTCATAGGATTCATTGATGTCCCAGGGATGATGAAACTAGGCAGTCACTGGTCTTCTTTAAGCTATACTACCCATTTCTCTTCATTCAAATTCCTACAGTGCTTATCTTATACCAAAGACTCCTATAAGAGAAAATCTATGAGAATATGATGATGTGGCTTAAAACAATTCAGATCTGTGGTTTGATGTCTTGATGACAGCTGTTTTGAGTTGGAGTAAAAGGGAATCTCTACTTAACTTCTTATTTGCATTCCAATGCTAGGTAAGTGTGATGAACATTACTTCTGAATCAATGTCTGCTTGCAGATCTCAGAAGGAATTTCTAAGAGAGGACATGAAAAACATACAAAGGGATCTAGCCTCTCACTTTCCAAGATCTTGCCCTAGAACTCAGCTGATCACCTGTACCCATCTGCTTCCCAGAGAAGACTGACAGTAGTGGTGACAGCAGGACTATTTATCCCTGATCTTAGTGTCAGCCACACAAGCTCTGAAGATCACCCTATCAGAGGAAACACCTCTCTTGTCTTCAGCATCTTTGACCTCTCTGCCTTTTGGTGTTGGAGGTAAGGAATCTGTCTCTTATTTAGACATTGTGTGGGAACTGTACGTTATCAGAAGCAACACCTAAAGCCCCCATCCTTAGATTATCTTATTCTTCAGTCTTCAGACTGTAATCTTTCCATTTTTACCCTAGATACCTCATATAGGAACCCATTCTAAATGTTTGGGGACACTTGCAATCATTCTTCCCTTCTATCTAAACATATGGAATTCTTGCTGCTGGATGGCTGGTAAAGCTCAGTACTTGAATTTTCTGTATATCCTGGCATCTGTATCAGACCCCAGATAACTATTACCTTGAATGGAGCCTGTCTAATGTTAGTTTAAGTTCCTTCTGCATACATATCTGCTTGATAATAAAAATAATACAGAAAGTCATTAAAAACAATTTTTACAATTAAATACACTAAGCAATGATAGGGGAACAAGCTTAGATAACACATTTCCAAATCCTAGCTCCATCTCCTGAATCTCCTCTGGTTTGGGCCTCTGCTGGCAATTCTTGATATGAGGTCACCATGATACAAAGTCCTTTTACAGAAATGGATTCTCCCTCCGCTAGCTTCCTATGCATGTCCTGCTCTTTCTCTCTGGAATGAGGAGACAACGATGAGGATAGGAGGAAAACCATGACTCTTGATTCAGAAGGAAGTGGACTAGATCTGGGGATCTACTTATAGCACCTTAATATAGCCCCATTCCTCCTCTTTCCTTTGAAATATTGTTCATATCTTGGCACAGAAACCCGAAAGAATGTGCCAAGCAATTATCTTCTTCCCTTTGTTTCTCTTTCCATACATCGTCTATCAAATCTATACCACAGCATTTTTTCAAGTCTCACATGTGCCAGAAACACTACCCCAAAATGTTTTAATTTTTTTCTTATATAGGGAAGAGGCTTTCAAACAGGGTTTCTGTGGAAAGACCTTCCATTTTGATATCATGGATCAAGTGGACAATTAGGTGGCAGGGAACTGTAAGACATTATTTTTCAGAGGACATTTCTTCAGCTGGCATCTACCTACAGTTCAAGGCGTAAAGATATTGGAGGATATGCTGTATTGCTTTTCCATACACTGACCTTCATGGTGCTATCTTCCACTGTCTCTTCTTGCACTACTAGATTTTTTTACTTATCCAGATCCTATTCATATGTAATAGCAGCTCATATGCTACTTCCTCAGGAAATATGTACCTGAAACCTCTCTTTTATGACTCCATATGCAATGCTTTAATCAGTCATCAGGATTACATGATACAGATTTTTGTGTGACATGTTTTCATATTTTCTGAAGTCATTCTAGAATGAAATACAAGTTCTTAGGAAATTTTGACTGACCGAATGAAAACAATTGGATAATGTGTCACTTACAATTGTGATCATATCACTCACTTAAAGGTCATGAGGTAATTGGTGTGGATGGAAACACATAACATAGGAGGAAAAAGTACATGTAGTGGGAAAATAGAGATACAGTCAATGGTGAATTTTCCATTTCTCATTTAAGGCTTCCTTTTTCTTTTGCCCAACTGTGAAACACATGCACTCCTAAAATAATGTAGCCTGTACTTTTCTCTCTCTCTCTCTCTCTCTCTCTCTCTCTCTCTCTCTCTCACACACACACACACACACACACACCACATACTTCATTTCCTTTACTTTTCAACTTCTTCAAGTGGAACTATCATATGAATGTAGTATGTGGCAGGAGTGCAGGAGTCCATCCTTCCTCCTGGTAATATCTGTGAATACTGTAAACTATTATTTGCATCCAGAATCTTTCTCTAAATCCTACATAATGGTTTGGCTTGGTGCCTTGCCTGACACGTCTTATTTTTGTAACTCATACTATTTATCATGTGTTGTAAATACAAACATCTGCCATGTCTCTGTGAAGCCCACGTGATATTTTGTCCGCCCCTAAATGAACATCTCATCATTGCTTTCAGCGAGGCATATACTTCTGTACTCTTCTTACCAAATTACTTTTCATTTTCAAAGAATAACAAGTAGTAAATAAAGGAGAGGAGGGTGTTTGAAAAGTACAAGAGATCATGTGGTTCAAGGACCAAGGATTCCACTTTTGAGAAAGCTATTGATTAGATCAGTAAGAATAGGCAGAATAATCAAAGGAAGAAAATGAAACTGTATTATGAATTAATCTTCAAAATCTGAAGTCTAATCAAAAGCAGACTTCAGCTAGGAAAATGACCAGTATATTTTTAATATGAAGACAAACATGATTAAATCTGCCTATCAAGGTATTTTCTTATGTACAAACATTCAAATGTTTTATAATGTAACTGATTCCATTATTGTAGTACATATGTAATGATGTTTAAAAAAAGAAAAAGATTCTCAGTGTCTTGGGGTTTTCAAAGTGGTGTTTCCTATTTAAGTGAGGATGTACCAAAATTCAGTGAAAACATTCAGAAACTAGAGATTATACTTAGCTAAGAAAAGGAAAGGCTGCTGCCTGATATCCTTAACACATCCACAGTATCCAGATTGGGTTTAATTCCCTTAGAAAGGTTTCCATTGAGAATGCATCTTTTTCTAGGCATCAGAAAAGACCATTCAGAATGGAGCTCGGGAACTTCACCTCGGAAAGTGGCTTTATATTGGTGGGTATTCTGGATGGCAGTGGTTCTCCTGAACTACTCTGTGTCATGATAACTGTCCTGTACATGTTGGCACTGACCAGCAATGGACTGCTGCTCCTGGTCATCACAGTGGATGCCCGGCTTCACGTGCCCATGTACCTCCTACTGAGGCAACTGTCTCTCATTGATCTCCTCTTCACATCAGTTGTCACTCCCAAGGCTGTTGTGGATTTTCTTCTCAGAGACAACACCATATCCTTTGAGGGTTGTGCACTTCAATTGTTTTCAGCAATGACATTGGGTGGTTCAGAAGACCTCCTTCTGGCCTTTATGGCCTATGACAGGTATGTGGCCATTTGTCATCCTCTAAACTACATGATCTTGATGAGTTCAAAGGTCTGTTGGCTCATGGTGGCCACATCATGGATCCTGTCATCCCTTAGTGCACTTGGGCACACTGTGTACACGATGCACTTCCCTTTCTGCATGTCTCAGGAAATCAGACACCTGCTCTGTGAGGTTCCTCCATTGTTGAAGTTGGCTTGTGTTGATACCTCTCAATATGAGCTCATGGTTTATGTAACAGGAGTGGTATTTCTATTGCTTCCTCTTTCTGCCATTTCTACTTCCTACTCACTAATTCTGTCCACTGTCCTGCACATGCCCTCAAATGAAGGCAGGAAAAAAGCCCTAGTCACCTGCTCCTCCCACTTGACTGTTGTTGGGATGTTCTATGGGGGTGCCACCTTTATGTATGTCCTGCCTAGTTCCTTTCACAGCCCTAAGCAAGACAATATCATCTCTGTGTTCTACACAATTGTCACACCAGCTCTGAACCCCCTCATCTACAGCCTGAGGAATAAGGAAGTCATTGGGGCTTTTAGGAGGGTCTTGGGGAGACATATACTGCCAGTACACTCCAGCCTTTAAGAAGGGTTTACAGTTGGATCTCGCTATTCCTTCTTCAAACATAGAGTCAGTCATTCTTTGATGTTATTCTCTGACTTAGATGATATATACACTATTATGTTCTTATGTTATTTTCAATTGTGTATTTGGTGTGAATAGAGGCCTTAATTTGAATCATCAGACATATATCGCCCTGGTCTTGAGAGCCCCTTCATTTTTAAATATTTACAACAGACTAGAAGTAGAAGTTCCAATTGGATGTTTTAGGCACATTATATGGTTGATGTCATCCTGGCACAGCACCAGATAGACTTAGTTAGGGATTTCTTTTCCATTTCAACATCATGTAGTATCAGGAACACTGACAATTTTAAAACCAGTAATTTCCAGCTCCGAGCATCAGAGGATTGCTCCTTTTGGTCCAGATTCTCTTTTTTATTTTTTATTTATTTATTTTTATTTAACTTTTTATGCATGTTACTCTCAGCTCCCTCTCCCCTCCTCCCCCAACCCCGCATTCCTCGCAACACCCCATTCCACTCCATCTCCCCTCCTTTCCCCAGGGAGGGTAAAGCCTTCCATGAGGGATTTTCAGAGTCTGTCATATAATACTGGGCAGATACTTAATGATCAGTAAAGAGAAATACTCAAGAAGATATTTTGAAATTCCTACTTGTTAACAAATTAGAAATTAATGGTGAAGAATAATTGACATGCATTCCAGATTTGAGAAACATTATCATAGACTCTGTAAATAAAGACATAGATATGTTGATAGCTAAAGATTTGAAAATGGACTTGACATTTCTATTTGGGATCTTTCTATTTACAATGCCTACAATTAATTTTTAGAAGTGAGATCAATAAATATAGTAGAAAGAATCTGTATGTAAATGAAATAGAAGATCTCTAATTAGCAGCAGGAAAATGGTTATGTATGTTTTTAAATTATTTTAAGTACACATACATAACCATGTTTAGAAGCATCTTTAAAAAGTATAAGAAATACAGATTATTGAGGCAAATGTATGCATATGTCTATATCCCCAGGAAAGAAAGCATAAATTATTCTTATATGTTCTCTGTTTTACCAAATCCCTTAGTGGTATGGCAATTCCATAATAAAAGGATAAGTCCAATTTGCTAACAAGAGAAACCTATTATTGTGGATCATACTGCTGTATGAGCACTCAGAATATTTTTAACTTATTGAAATAATCTTAAAACTAAGTCATACTAAAAAAACTAAAACTATAAAACTGCAAAGTTTTTAAAGAAACTAAAATCACCTATAGTGTTTTATTGTCATTTTGTTATACAAGTATGTTTGAGCTGAACTTACATATGAGTGATATGTAAACTCCTTTTGTTATTTAAAGTTTGGTCAATCTTGTTCCTTATTTGAAGGATATTTTACAATGTGAGTGGAGAGGGAGGGACCATACTCTCTGAGCTTAAATCTGCTCATCTTTGGATATAATCATACTTTTTCCATTTCAATTTGTTCATCTCCCAGTGATTCTGGGAGGAGCCTGATCTCATGCAATTTTATGTAGATTAAATGAGGTAATAAATATCAGTGTGCTTCATTTGTGCCTAAACTACATATGTTGACTATTGTGTTAATGAATAGTAAAGATCTTTGGAAAACAATCTTATACTTTGTTATCCATGGTGCACAGTGTGATGGGTTGTATACATACAACATGAAGCTAATTGTTGCAACTATTATCTTATACTCTCACAGCAGTATATTCTTAGTGTATCTACCATCATCATGATATTGCAATAGACCTTGTGAACTGTCTTCTTGTCTAAGATAAATTTTATGCTATTTGACCAACATCTCATCAGCATTTTGCCTAGTAACCCACCATCTTATCCTGTTCTGTGAGATAAACTTTAGATTCTACAGACAAATGAATTTACATAGTAATTTTCTATTGGTGCCTGATATTTCCTTTAATATTCTATGAAATGATTTCTGTTGCAGTAACAAGCAAAATTTCTTTCTTATGCAAGGTTGAAGAAGAGTTCACAAATCAAGGTGTAAGCATTTCACTTTGCATGTTGTTTGGAATTTTCATGCCTTAATCATCCTACCTCTGCTGTCTCAATTTGTCTGAGATGTAATTTGTTATCTAGTTCTATATAATCCTTTTCTCAATCATGTTGTCATTAGACTATCACAGGCACCATCTAGTTGAATTAATGAGTACTTGACTTGTTTCCTAACAAATAATTTAGCTTTGTTCTTTGTTTAATTGTGATTGTAATTTTTAGTACCTTATTCATTACATGTCTTCTCTGTAATCTTTTTCTAAGACAAGTTGTAAGTACCTAAACTTATAAAGTATAATAATTTTAACACTAATAAATTATAGACTTGTCAGATACTATAATAAAATGTTCTCAGTAATTAAGCATTAACAGAAAATTACAGGGATATAAGCATTTGAGTCCTATATAGAAAGATCTAGAAGAGTCTTTGCAAATGCAAAACTAGTGGAAAAGATTAAAATTATGCTCAGATACTGAATATCACAGATCTGATAGCTGAGACAGAATGTTTGGAATGTAAATTATTTGAAAATTGTGGTGTTGTGATCATACAAATATTCAATTATTCAATTACTGTCTTTCAAAATGAAGCTCCAATGGAAATGTTACAGCCAGGTCATTTCTATAGATTAAGACTGCCTACAGGGAAGACTGATCAATATCATACACAGGAACTAGTTACTTTTGTGACCACATTACTCATAACTTTCTTAAGCTATGCTTCTTGGCAATATTCCTTTCCTCTCTGTGTTTTTCCTGAATATCTCTGTGAATTTTCTCCTAGCCAAGGCTTTTTTAGGTTTGTTTGCTTGTGGTGATATCTTGTTTGTACAAATAAATCCTGTCTGAAGGTCAGAGAATGGAGCTTGCCTCTAACTAACCATATAGGTCTGGAGATCTATACAGACAGACAGGAAGTGAGATGACTGGACTGAAACAGGAAGTGAGATGGCTCAGCAGAGAGAGGATATAAGTGGCTAGCTCAATCAATAGAGCATGAGACTCTTAATCTCAGGGTCTTGGGTTCATGTCCCATGTTGTCACCAAAATGTAAATGGAGTTCTTAATTGGTCTAAATAATAAAAACCCAGAGTCAGATATAAAGGAAAATGCTGAATGATCAGTGAGAAGAAGAAGCCAAAGCCCACACTTTACCTCCTTAGTTTCTCAGCACACAATAGCTTGAGTTTCTGTTTCTGCCCACTTCTATCCTCTCTCTGCCAATCCATCTCACTTCTAGTTCTGCCCAGTCATCTCACTTCCTGTCTGTCTGTACAGACTTCCAGACCAGTTGCTAGTGGCAAGCTCCATTCTCTGACCTTCAGACAGGCTTTATTTCTACAAGCAAGATACCACCACAAATTTTAGCCCATTGATAGTGGCTGAAATTAAGCATCCTTATAATCAAAAAAATTTTAGGGCAATAAATTTCATAAAATGTTCCTGGTCTTTAAATAAGCCACGGCCTGTACTTTTGATCCTCCCAGTAATTTGCTACCATATTTTCACATATTCTTTTTCTATTGAATGTCTAAAATTGTTATCCCTATATTTGTGATAACTTGCTCATAGATTCTGAAGTCATTCAATGGAGGCAAAGGGAAGGAATGTGATTTTCTCATGTTGTGAACTGTGAAAAAAGAAAGCAGGAAAAGAATGATGCAGATGATAGAACCCCTTTGTCAGTTGCAAGGTTCCAAATACCCTTTAAATGTCTGCATCTCCAGCTTTGGTTATGTACAGTCTTCCAACCAGTTTTCCTAGAGCCCCTTTCACATCTTTGTTTCGAAGGCTGTATATGATTGGATTCAACATGGAAGTCATAACTGAATAGAACACGGAGATAACCTTATCCTTTTCACTCATTGTCTTGGAGTTGGGTCTCATGTAGGCAAATATTCCAGAGCCATAATAGAGGATTACAACAGTGAGGTGGGAACCACAAGTAGAAAAGACCTTGAGCCTTCCCTCTCCAGACTGCATCCGGATCACAGTGGAGATGATATTCCAGTATGAGACAAGGATGAGTGAGACAGGAACTAATAGGATAATAACTCCCACTAAAAACAGAGCCATTTCAGCATTGTAGGTGTCAACTGAAGCCAGTTTTAAGAGGGCAGGTGGCTCACAGAAGTAGTGATTAATTACATTCTGTCCCTGATACGGGATGCACAGTGTAAATGCACTGTCCACCGAACATGCAAATGGCCCACTTAACCAGGAAATGACAGCCAACTGGACACAAACCCTCTGAGTCATGATGGTGGAGTAGTGCAGAGGCTTGCAGACAGCTATATACCTGTCATAGGACATCACTGCCAGCAGAGCACACTCTGTACACCCTGCTAGGAGAAATACCACTATCTGTATTGAACATCCAATAAAAGAAATGGTTTTCATTTTTGAAAGGAAGTGGACCAACATCTGGGGTACGATGCTGGTAGAGAAGCAGAGGTCAGCAAAGGATAAGTTTTGGAGGAAAAAGTACATGGGAGTCTGAAGTCGAGAGTCAATTTGGATGAGGATTATGATCAGCAGGTTTCCAAATACAGAAAGGAGGTAGATGATCAGGAAAACACAGAATAACAAGATTTGGATTTTAGGATTCTCTGAGAGTCCCAGCAGAATAAATTCAGCTACATAAGTTTGGTTTCCTCCTCCCATTGACATTTACTCCTGTTAACCTATCATCAGAAGAGAAACAGTATTTTCAGTCCTTTATAAAGGAAGCATATAGTTGGCCAGCAAGTTCGCCCTCTTGATTCTTGATTTCCATCTGTTTCCCACCAGGTCCCAGATTCTGTCAAAATGTACACTGGTGTGTCTATATCCAGTAAAGCCTATTTTGTTTTGTTTTATTCTTTTTGAAAAACGAAGTCACTGTGTAACTCAGGCTGATCATGAACTCAATACTCTCTTGCTCTGGCTCCTAAGTGCTATAATTGCAGGTGTTCTTCACC